GTGTGTGTGTGGTGTGTGGTGGTGTGTGGTGTGTGTGTAGTTAGTGTGTGTGTGTGTGTGTGCGTGCGTGTGTGTGTGTGTGTGTGTGTGTGTGTGTGTCTGTGTGTGTGTGAAGGTCGTTTGAGCCATGGAGGCTGCTATTTCCGCCTGGCAGCAGTGCTTAGGGATTGTAATATGACATCTCAACACAATGTGATCACCTTACTCGTATATACTAAAAAGCAACTTTAGATATCGATATACTTTTGACGGTATGTTTCCCAAGTATGGTGTATAGGAGGAACATCTATGTGTACAGAGCTATACTCTCTTGTTGTTTGTATACATCCACGTGTATCTAAACGCAAAACCCTATAAACACACACAACTCTTCTCCGCATACATGTGCGCGGACGTGCGTATAGCAACTACCATACTTATTTCATTCATACATGTCTGCTCACATACTCGACAGGTAATGTGTGTTATACGTACCTGTCTACGGTTTAAACAACATGAATATAGCCACGGATTATGTCTGCTCACATACTCGACAGGCAATGTGTGTTATACGTACGTGTCTACAGTATAAACAACATAAATATAGCCACATCCGTAGGCACACAACCCCCATCCAGCACCCAGCTACACCTACCCATGTAGTCGTTTTCCTGCACTTGCTTCTCACGCACCAGTGCGTCTATCTCGGCATTCCGCGCTTCCACTTGCTCCGTCAGTTGGAGTTTGCTTTTGAGCGCCTGATTGGATAGATGTACATGGTTAATATATCGTGTACTCACACAACGGCTGCCATATCAACTGATAGACCTACATGGACCTACATGGTTAATACATCATGCAGTCACACAACGGCTGCCATATCACCTGATAGATATGCATGGTTAGTATATCATGAACTCACGCAACGGCTGTCATATCAACTGATAGATATATATGGTTAATGCATCATGAACTCACACAACGGCTGCCATATCAACTGATAAACCTACATGGTTGATACATCATGCAGTCACACAACAGCTGCCATGTCAACTGATAGATATACATGGTTAATGCATCATGAACTCACACAACGGCTGCCATGTCAACTGAGATAACACATATGTGGCACAACTCACGACAGAAGCAACGGAGACAGGTTGCTTAAGGCAGGCTGGTGGAGAACCTTGGAGACTATGATCGGCATATACTGTACATACACGGCAGTTGTAGGTACACACTCACTGTGATACGCACAAGGACTTAAACTAGGCATGGTCCCAAAGAAGCATGGCGCACTAGTCCATACACAACACAGAGGGATGTGTATTCAGCCACACTTGCGTATACATGGGATGTGTATTCAGCCACACTTGCGTATACATATTCCACTCCATCTGCACACAGACAACCACGTGGACGCTAAGTGATGGTACCTGTCTAAAACATATAAAAGTCGGCATTCATTGAATACACACTAATGCGTGGGCTTCACACAGAGCCTGTGACATGCGAGGGTCAACAGACATTGAATACACACCGATGTGTGGGCTTCACCCATTGACACGCAAGGGTCAATCGATATTGAATACACACCGATGCGTGGGCTTCACTCATGTCCGCCAATTCCTTCTTCACATCCGCGAGCGATTTCTTCTCGATCTCCACAGTGCTTTTGGTCTGTGCGGGGGTGTTGCAGCCATTGTGTTAAAGATTTAGGACTGGGGCTTGCACACTCTGTGTACTGCGACAGAGTATCGAGTCTGTGTACTGTGACAGGGTATCGAGAAGCTGAGGAGGAGGATGTCTGGCAACCTAGCAGCACACGCGGACGATACGCGTGGTCTTGGTATTTAACGTATTTATCTCGAGAATGAATTCGCACTGCAGATGAGATGTGTACAACCAAGACAAACACATAACTACTACAGCGTAGCAACCACTCGGCTTCTGGGTATGTATGTCTCCACAACCACTGAGAGACAGTAGCTAACGTTGCCAAGCATTGCGTTTGTATTAGTCTAGAGTGTCCTCTGTGTTAGGCGAATGGTACATGACAAACGAGATGTGTACAACCAAGACCAACAAATAACTTCTACAGCGTAGCAACCACTGGGCCTCTGGGTATATATGTCTCCACAACCACTGAATGGCAGTAGCTAACGTTGCCAAGCATTGCGTTTGTATTAGTCTAGAGTGTCTTCCATGCTAGGCGAATGGTACATAGTAAAAGGCTTACAATAGACACTGCCTATCTTTACTCGTCAAGCTTGGCGCAGCGCGGTAGACCTTCTGCAGGGGAACCCGTTAACGGATATCTTATACCTTGGTCACACTAACACGATGGGGATGAAATGCGCATACACTCACTGGTCCCTCGAACCGAGGGTGTGGTGCATCCCAATGAGAAGGTATTATCTTTAGAGTACGTTTAACGCTTACCGCTTTCAGCAAACTCGTTGCCTCCTGCTTCTCTCTCAGTAACCTCTTTGAATTTGCCTTCTCGTCCGCCAGCTCTGCCTCTACCTGGTGTATAAAAACGAATCATACCGTTACGCACAAGCACAAACGTATTTGCATGCCAACGCACAGGCGTATCCTGTACCTCTACACAGGCGTATGCCGTATCTATTTCAGAAACACTTTGCTATATAGTTAACCACCACATGACAAACAATGATTTGTACCAACTGACCGTCGCAGTACCTTCTCGAGTGCGAATCTATCTCAGACACACTTTGCTATATAGTTAACCACCACATGGACAAACAATGGTTTGTATCAACTGACCGTCGCGGTACCTTCTCGAGTGCCAACAAGTTCATGGTGGCCTGTTCTTCCACCTCCCTGACGCGGGCGTGCAAGGTCTCCTTGACGCTGCTCAGCTGTGCGTGTGAGCTGTCGTACAACTCACTCTTCTCCTGAACCTCTGTCGTCAACCGGCTCACCCGCTGTTTCGCCTGCGCCAATTCGGTCTTCAACGCATCCATACCGGCACATTGTACTCGCAAGCCCCTTACCTCGGTGGTCAGCTCGTACAGTTCGGTAGTTTTGTTGTACACCTCTGTCTCTAACTTCTCTCGGTCACTCTCCAGCTGCCCAACCTTCTCCTCTATACGTTTAGCACGTTCGAGCGTTTTGGCTGTGCCCTCTATTTGGGTCTCGAGTGTCGTGTGGGACTCCTTCATTGCATCTCTCTCTCGCACTAATTCCTCGAGCGCTTTCGCGTGGTCATCCTTCTCCTTTGCCATGTCCCGCTGGAGTGTATCTCTTTCTTGCTCAATAGCTTGTTTGAGTGTATCTCTCTCGTGCTCCGTATCTTGTTTGAGTGAGTCTCGTTCCTGCACAACCGCACGTATCTCCGTTTCCAACGTACTCTTCTCACTCTCCCATCTGTCGCTGTCCTGCTTGAACCGTGCCTGTTCACTTTCAAGTTCACTCACCTTACCTGCCAGTTCTTCCGTCACACTGTCTTTCTCGCGAACCAATTCCTCGAGAGCCTTAGCATGGTCATCCTTCTCCTTTGCTATTTCCTGCTGGAGTGTATCTCTTTCCTGCTCCGTATCTTGTTTGAGTGTGTCTCTCTCCTGCCCAATCGCACTCAGCTCCGCTTCCGACGCACTCTTCTCACTCTTCCATTTGTCGCTGTCGCTTTTCAGCTGTATTCGTTCGCTTTCGAGGCTGCTCACTTTACCCGCAAACACATCCCTCTCAGCCACCAGGCTTTTATTGGTCGCTGTCAACGTCTCTATCTCCTCTATCTTCTGAGCCAATGTCTGCTGAGCTTCGTCAAACCTTCTCTGAGTCTCCTCCGCCATTGCTTGTTGTTGGTTCGCTTCGCCATTCTCCAACGCACCATTGACACTGTTATGTTGTGCTGTGCTATCGAAGTGGGTGCTGCGTTCGTTCAGGGCCGCAATCTCGGCATTTAATGCCTTCTCTAGCCGTGCCTGTGTGACTAGCTTGGTGGTTAACGTTTTCGACTGGGCAAGCAATTTAGCAATCTTCTCGTCCTTGCTCACTAATTCCGTTTGAAGCTCCTGTATTTGGGTGTCTAGCTCCCTATTCCCATCCCCTGTATCTGTCGTGCCGTCCGCTTGACCATCATGCACGATACTTCGTAGGGCTTCTATCTGCTTCAGTAGGCCCTCCTTCTCGCTCTGATACTCCGTCTCTTTATCACTTGTGTATTGCTGCATGTGTTTCGCGTGTTCAGCACTCAGCGCCTCCTTCGCAGCAGCCACTGCACCCTCTATTGCCTGTAACCGATCGCTGGCATTGGTCTCCTGTTCACTCACACGCTTCTCTTCAGCCAGGCGTTTGTCATGTTCTATATCCTTGTCTTTCTGTTGACCTTGCTCGACAAACACATCCACCTTCTCCTGCAACGCCTTGGTTTCCAGCCCTAGCTTCTTGTTTTCTTCTTGCGTCGTGTCCCGTTCTCGTTCCATTTCCGCTATTGTACTTGCAAGTGCCTTTACTTTCTCATCCTTCTCATTCAGCTGTGTCTGCGTTTCTGACGTTGGATCGTCCGCTGGCGATGCACTGCAACCAAACCACATACAAGGTCAGACAATGTGTTAGGAACGTCGCCCAATCAAATACCTTATAGGTCTCCTCTAGGCCGACTATACGATACCGAAACGTTTACGTTATTAAGAAAATACGTTAAAGCGTTGAAATGCAAATGTTAAATAGAGTCTTCATATCAAATTCTTCATGACCATGTGTTAGTTAGAAGTATTCATTCCAATCAGATCCCTCACTTGTGACTTCTACGTCATGGTTTTAGGGTATACTCGTGTATAACACATCCGTTGAATTGCAGCAATGCGTATTAAACGTATATCTTGTGTGTTAATAATAGCTGCGGCGCACTCTCTGTTCTGCGCATAAATCGTTTTTGGACATTATATTCGGCATCTGCCCCGATAGTATGATATAGTTATAGAATACGGAACATACAGAAGCTCCAATGTGCTCCAAAACACTTTTGGTTTGCCTCTACCCCGTATTTCTCATAGTCTCTTACCAGTACATCACACAGCACACGCTACCATCCTATCTGCTCCAGTTTTAGTACTGCTTCTTCGGTCATGCCAGTACTAGCTGCAAAAGGATCCCACCAGGTAGCGACATACACAT